TTTACTACAAGTTATCTTTCCTCAAAAATGTTGCGTGAGGAACTCAGGCCCAAGGGTACTTGGTTGGCTTTTGAATAGGGAGAAGGTGTCATTGACCTATGGGAATGAGCTGAATAAAGATTATGCGGCTGGTTAGAAACATCCAAGTCAAGATTCAACTAAGGCCAAACGAGGGGTAAATAGGGAGAGATGGCAGTTTCTATGCTCTCTTTATTCTACATGTAAAATCCGTACATCTCTTTTGTTTATAATCAATAAAGCTTCTGTTACCTATCAGAAAAAAGACCCCCCAAAAAAACCCTAGGCCCAAGGGTAGAACATCAATCCTCGTTGCAATCTTGTTTTTACAGCTTTATGCTTATGCTGTCAAACATTTTACAAATGTTTGCTTCCCTGCTATAGGGGTGTCAATTGGACTGGATTTGGTCCGATCTGATCTGGTCCAATAAGTGTCCATTATAAATGGACCAGGTCAAATTCAATCTGATGAATACTTTGGACCATTTTGAACCGGTCCAAATCAATGTCTGGACCRAATTTAGATATGTTCCAATCCAAACCTGGTCCATTGGTACCTGTATTCTTATCTTCTATGAATGAACCAGATATTGGTTCAATCTGATGCAATCCAATATAAATCCAGGACCATTAAGTTTACACTGGTTCAATTCAATGTCTTTATAGGTCTGTCCAATCTGTGTCGAAATTGATTTTAATTTGGACGGGTCCAACCAAAAATGGGTCCATAGACACCCCTACCTGCTATTAGATTTTCCTTCTAGCAGGGTCTTAGTTCAGACTATTCGAAAAATATCTCACCTATGAGTGACACGATGATAACAGAATAAGAATAGAAGGATAACAATAAGAAAGCACAATTTCAGAGTGATATTGAAGAAAAAAATACTTCAGTTATGCAAGACAAGGTTCAAAATGTGGACACGCCGGTAGGGGCGTATTGGGTGATATTGATACTGTTTATTTTTTATTTTTTTTTTTCAAAACCAGTTGAGGGGGACGGTTTAAGGCTTTTCCACCCTCTGAACCGGTCAGAACCCTGATATGTGGGTGTATCAGAGAGGTCTCGGAATGATACATATCGGCCTATATGAGCTAATACGTGTTCATACTTTGAACCACCTAGGCTAGATCTCAGGATTCTAGCCTCTTGATTGCATGCCTCGGTGCCTATGGGTTGACAGAGTAATCCCTCATCCATCTAATAACCACCCAAGAATCTCCGTCCCTGACACACACGTAAAGCCAAGAGGAACAGAACTGCAGTTGCACATGTTTTGCTAGTTCACACAGAAGGGTTGATGTTATGGAACATGCTTGTCTTGTTTATATTGTTTATTATATATATTTATATATATATATATATTTATATATCTTCCTATGATATTTAACAAAAGTATTCACATTGGCAAATGCACTAATGTTTACTGGGTGGTTCATTTGTTGTTGTTACATCAGTATTGAATAGTCTTCTTGCTTATTAGATGGTTCATACATGGATGCACTGTGGCTGCTGCCCTAGATGCCAGGTGTTATTACACTAAATATTATCACCCCATTTTGAAAGCTTTGGTATATAACTTTAAATTATGTAGATTATTAGGAATTAGGATGACTTCTGTCAGTTTCGAATGCAGGTGAATTTGAATGCTTAGAGCAAGGTTCAAAATATCATTATGTATCGGTATATATACGTATCGTATCGGAGCCTTCCCGTTATGCTCCTACAAGGGGTGTATCGGGTCAGGTTATGGTTCAGAGGATAGTCAGGACTTAAAACAATCCATCTGAACTGGTTTTAAAAAAAATAAATAAAACACAAAAGCATYGATACAGGCCGATACATCGGTATGCCTGTATCGATATTTAGAACTTTGCCTAGGAGTATATGGTAGATGAAGATGTGTATTTTCTTCATGGGGCCTTGTACTCTATTTTGACCAAGTTGGTGGTGGTAATAAATATAGGGAAAATCTATGATAACTAAAAGAGATGGTATCGGAATAGTTTTGACCAATCACAGCACCCCGTAAATTTTAATTCACACCACCTGATTGGTCATCTCATTTATGATGCCAATTGATTGGCTATGTATTTTTCCGATATCATATGTTTCTTGTCACATTCTTTTTAATTTTTGTTGTACTACATTCAGAAAAAAAAAWATAGTGGAACTAATCTTTTTTGTAGCCAATTGGTGGAATCGTTTGAACTTTGAAGAGGTTTTTTAAGGCAGTATTTCCAATGGTGGAATCAAATATAGTGGAACTAATCTTTTTTGTAGCCAATTGCATCATGCAGGGAATCTCATAATCCGATGTACAGAACAAAGAGTACAGGGGATCTTATGCATGAAAACACTGAAGCTTTTCAGTTTTCTCTGATGGGGGCAAGTTTGGCATTCGAAAACATCTGAACTCGCTTTGTTAGTGAAGGATTTTTTTTTCGTTTACTTTTGATCCTAATCGTAGCTAATTTTTTGGTTTTTCATTGGGTAGAATTTTTGGTTCTTCCGTTCTCTAAATAGTCGGAGGATTTTATTGATTGCTACTGGTCGTTCGCTCTTGATAAAATGCTTTGATATCGTTACCGATAAAAGTGGGGAAGCAACCACTGCTTGAAGGTTTGGTTTGGCTAATTATTTTCCATTCTGTACATTTGATTTGTAACCCCGTCCTCTAATATCAACTCCATATCTAAAGAGACGAATTGATTGGTTCTCATATATCGGATATTTTGATTGATGGTTGGTTATATTTCAATTGCCTTGAGAAGGCATTTGGCTGAGTTTGGATTACATCCAAGTTTGATTCGTTAATTTTTGGATTGATTTAAATCATAACTGGATATTAATCGATAGCTTACCCAACAAACAAAAATGATTAAAATATTAATGTATTATTAATAAAAAAGATAGAAAATGACACTGACATAATAGCATCATTGTATGTTATGGATAGGGGGTGTCAATGGGACCAGTTTTTGGTTGGATATCCTGTTCAAATCAAAATCAATTTGGATGCATTAGAAGGATCAATAAGACATTGAATTGGATCAGTCCAAATTTCAAGGTTTAAAGTATTTATTGGATTGAATTGGATCTGGTCTGTCCAAAATGGAATCATATTGGATCTTGAGTAAGGTCGGAGGGGTGTGATCTTCAGAAAAAAAGATCTCTTGCAAGCTTAGGGTTTTTCTGTAAGATCTAGTGTAAATTGAAGGGGTTAAAAGGGTTAGGGTTAAAAGTAAAACAACCTGAAAATATACGGCTGTCAATGGGTTGGGTTCAGTTAGAATCGTAACCGACATAACAAGAAATATTGACGACCTAGAACCGAATTGGATCTGATAGGATTTGTAATTTTTAGTCTCAGAATCAAGCCAATTGGTTTTGATTGGGTCTGACCGGGTCGGAGTCTGGATTGATTTAGGACTGAGGTGGAACTGGTCTCAAACCAATAATAACAGGATAGTACATTGGGACTAATCCATCGGTTACGACTCCTGGAACCAGAATTGACCTAGTTGGTTTGGGGTCCATCAGGTCTAACCGGTTGGACCCAACACATGGATCTCCTGCAAGCGCAATGGGACGGGCCAGGATTTATAAGATCTGAAACAAACTAAGGGTCTGTTTGGCAAGTCTTTTTGAAAGATCTTCTAGTTTTGACAGTCAAAAGATACATTGAACTTTTGCATGAAAGTCTAAGTAACCTGAAACTAGTATAATAGATACATGTCTTTCTATGCGTCTTTCTGTGTCTTTCCGCGCGATAATAGAACATAAAAAACGTGAAAAGTTTCATTTGGAGCTTCCCAAAATGGACTTCTCGCATCTTTTTGGTGCTCTAGCTTTTAACGGCTAGATCTTCCACGAATCAAACAGGAATAGACCTAAAATCAATTTGTCCAACTTATAAACAATCGAAAAAACACACCAAACGGTCCCTAAATTTCTGATTAGCAGTGTTGCTTCAGATGGCGGGGAGTCGAATGAGTGTGTGCGTGTGTAAAATTGCTTTTAATTAATATTATGTTTCCACTAAACTGTAATAGGTTCAAGCTTCATAAAAAGTTATTTTCAATTCATATTTATGAAATACAATCTAAAAGTCATTTTAAGTTCATTCAGTTAATGATATATAAAATTTGAATATTTTTAATTTAATTTATTAATACTATTAAATGTCGTGGGCAATGTTGTAATCTGTAATAGTAAAAAGGGGGCACGGTAATCAAGGTGGCCAATCGGGTTTCTGATCAAGCTCTACTCAATTCTCACCTACCTCTCAACAACCTGCATGACATTTATCCCTAGTGAGATTTCAGATATAATTGAGCGATTGCAAGAATTACGCCAAAAAAGTGGATTGAGTTGAAAAAAAAATTATGGACCCAAGGATCTGATAGGTACCTGATAATAAATTTGTAAGTCAAATATCACCTTGCAAAGTCCGCCGATGTTAGAGTTCTCTGTGAAATATACCCTGGTTGTTGCAATTTAATTTTGTTCTGAAGAAATACATAAAAAGTGTAAAATTGAGAGGTCTTTTCTCATCTAGACTTCCTTTTTATGATGTGAGAGTCCACCATGCATTTTAAATAACCATTTTATCCAAATCACTCATGCAACAGATGTAGTTTATAATTTTAAACCCCCAATGTCTCTAATGTAACTTCATATGATGAGACCTACAGTGTCACAAGATAAGCATGTAACGTCCAGTTAAATAGGTGTTTCTAAGTTTGAGGCTCGATCACTTACCCATTACATCAACTGAGGCATCAAAGTTGTAATGCAAATTTATAATATCTAAAAGATATTTTTGACTACAAGACACAAATCCGCTGAAACACCTAAAGAGATCTTTCATAAACTCGTCAAGTTATTCCATTGAACAAATGTATAGATAGTACAAGTAAAAATAAAATAAAACATCAGATATGTTAAAAGAAACTTTGTAAACAGTACAACATACTCAGTAGTTCATTATTCTCTCCCCTCAACTATATATTGCATCAACCATAAGTACTGCTCTCTAGATGTCTTTCTAGGGCTTTGACTATTAAAAAATTATCAAAAGAAAAAATATGGAATGATAACGTTATGGTAGAAACAGCTATCCATGACTGAAAAGTCAGCTTGATGAATTTAAAAGACATACTACATAGACAAGGACTTTGTTGCTGCTAATGGGTTAGGTTTATGCTCCTGCAAACAGATTTGAAGCAGGGCTTTTGGTCTTAGTGACCACTCTGTACAAGCTCTGTTTCGACTGCTTGTTGATTATCATTGCCTGAATGTTGGTCATTCTTGCCAGTTCTTGAATCTTCTTGTCCTTTGGGAGTTTCACCAAGCCTCTCCTGTAAGTTCCCAGTTTTGTGAATATTATCAGCTTACATAATCCATTAGCATGCTTTTTTATGATATAATAAAACTTTACAGTTGCCAAATTAAAAAAAAAGACAATAACAACAGTTTGAGAACTGATAGCAATTAACTGTGTAAAGACTGATATCAAGATGTGGTACACATTCAAGAAAGTAGAACCATCAGATGGAATAGACTTTTCAGTAGAAGTGCCAAATTTGTGAGTGTGTTAAGGACCATGAGAAATAACAAGCTAGTGGTCATCATATCAGGTTATAACTTTTAACGTGTTCAAGACTGGGGAAAAGTAACCAATAAAATGGGGGAAATGTGCCTGTATGTCTGCCATTTCTTCCTTAAAGTCATTATGCCACACACTACATATCTAGACTTCCAATGGGAAGAAAAATAAATAAATAATGAATGAAGGCAAACTATATTTCAAAATTCAAACATCACCTTCAGAGAAGCATTCTGAGAGAGAAGCTGCTCATACTCGCTCCTGATACGAGTGACTTCTGATCTAAGTGTGGAGTTCTCCTCGGTTAGAATTTCAACTCTTTGGGCTAGCTCTTCACATTCCGCCTGAAACAATCACATGTAATTACTTTAACAAATAAGAGTGCAGCACAAAATCAACTAATAGGAAATCCACAACAAATACTGGAAGGAAATTCATACCTGCTTACGCAACCTGGATCGACGGGCTGATTCCCCATTTGACTGCTTTCTTCGCTGCCTTTTCAGTTCCCTTTCGTCCTGCATCAAACAGGATGCATCAGATAATAATGATAGTACTAATAGCTATTGCCAATCAGAAAAGAATACTACTAGTAGTAACAAAAGGATTAAAACCGTGGTCATGCTATGAGTCCAACATGCACTAACTATAACAAGGAAAACCGAGAACAAGTACTTTGTTTTCTGGAGGAGGTTGAGAGAAGTGTTTGAACAGGTAAGGAACTGGAGCAGGTTAAACAGGTAACATGCCCAAACCACCCTCAAGCACCAGATGTAAACCCATGCCACTTTGATGTTCTAGATCTTAGGTTCATTTGGTGTATCACTTTACTTTGGCTCAGATTATTTAAAAGTTTGGTTTATTACTTGAATAAAATGATATTAATTGAAATCTTGATAAGTTGCTCAGAAAATGATTATTTGACATTAGGAGGCCACATTGATAACCTAGATTTTTGTGTTGATATGTTATATTTTAGATGCCTAAGATCAGTGGAATCTTAGTACATCATTTCAATAGTTGAGATTAAGGCACTGATCATAAGAGACTACTTTGATGGCCTAGACCTTTGGGTTAATTTGGTACATCATTTATATGACATTTTTTTAGAAAATTGGGACATTTGATATATCATTTACTGATTTACTATACCATTTCCATGACCTTGATTTATTGAAACCATTGCACATCACTTGGGCTTTCAAGATTAATTGACTGGTTTTGAGGCACAAGATCAATGGACTAGATCTTCAGTTAGAAGATCATCACTAGAAATATCTCTTAGTAAATATTAAACAGGCAAGGTCAAATCATTAAAGCAAGACAAGGGAATTTTAGGGTTTTTACAGAGTCTAACCAAAGTAAGTGAGATGTGCATGGGTATATACCCTCCACTCCTTTGACAGAATGGTGACAGAAGGTGTCACACAATAATTTTATGTAAGTACAACATATTTAAGTTTCACAAAAGAGTGTACAGGAGGCTACGTGTAACTCATCCCAAAGCACAGAAGAAATGCTTGTAATTTAACATTTAGTCCAAATGTTAAGTCTGACTAACATCGAGGAGTCAACATTTTCCTATTACTTGTTTAAATCAACAAAAGTTGCTTTTAGTTTCCATCCATGTTTTATTATGACGAGATTCCAAGTGATTTCAGGACCTCTAGGGGTGATTTATAGCTGCACTTCTTTTTCTCCTCTATCTAGTTCTATCTTGCCAGTTGTCAGACTTTGGCCATTGGCAAGCCATCAGCACCTTGAGAATGGCCATCGACTTTGTCAAGGACTGCTGAATCAATCTGGGATTCTGGGTGAGTTGCATACAACCATAACCTATGTCCAAAATCCATAACCTTCTCAAACTATCTAAAGAGAGAAATCTCTCTATAATTCATTTGGTGAACTGGGATCAGGTATGCTCCCCAAAAAAAAAGGAGGGTTGGGAATCAGACAGGTCAAATTTTTCAACAAGGCAATGCTAGGCAAGTGGATCTGGAGATTTGGGCTACTGTGTAGCAAGGATCTGTAATTTTTTTTTTCAGGCATTAATAAATAACTCATTTTGCTGATATAAAAAATACTATTAAATATTCTACTAAAATCTTAATTCATTTGAATCCAATGTAAAACCTGATGATGTTGCACGATCTGACTGCTTCCTGTTGGAGGATGATTTGGTTTCTAATCGGACGGCAAGCTTAGTGAATCTGCAAGAAAGGATCAGAGAACCCAGGGTGGCTAACCTGGCGAGGTCGCTCTGATGCTTAAGTTTGTAATCTGATGCGAGCTGAAGAATTTTTAGAGCTTAGAGAGCTAGAGAGCTGGAGAGCAGAAAAATCACACATACCTTGCACCATTAGGGTTGGTGCCTTTATATACTGGAGTAGTCGTGGGACACACGAAAGAGTTCCGAGATATCTAGGGTGTGGAGATAGAGTTCACTCTGCTTCCAAAGGAGCAGTATACAGGTAAGGATTATCTCGTTCCACTTCCAATTCCGGTAGAGTCAGGGTAAGTCCTCATCGCAATCCCGAAAAGGTCGGGATCAGTTAGATCATCGTGATCCCAAGAGATTCGGGATCCGTTGGAGAGACCTCTGGGGTTTGTTATGCGGGAGTCAGTTCGTGGTGATTTGAGTTGTTGGTCTTGAGCCAGTACTTCGGTCTTTTAGTTCCGAACTAGATTGAATACCGAGGCGCCTCGATGCCGAGGTGAGACTAGTGCTGAGGTGGCCCTGCACCAAGGTGAGCCTTAAGCCAAGGCGGTCTTGCACCGAGGTGATTGAATACTTGAGCTCAACTGTTGTGAAATAGGCATGTTAGGCTGAATTGTCATTTCTTGGTCAGGTTGTATCCACATGTCCCATTTTCGCTAGTTCGGGCCAAATCACCCTTCATCAAAACCGATGAAAGATCTTATTCAAATTCGAATATGATTTGGATCTAGTCAATATCCCATTCTATTTGATCCATTTGAAGACAAAATAAAATATCATTCCAAGGGACGAACTCTGCTACTTATTTCAACTTTGGCCATAGTCACGGTGCTTATTTCAACTTTCAAGTCCGATGAAAGAAATGCTGAGCCACCTGACCTCCACAACTGGGACATATGCCAATGTGCGCAGAGGTCATTGTCACTGTCAGCCCTTCAACTCCTTATCATCATCTATGCCTTATTCGGACAATATGGGATTAGCTCCATGAATCCTATTTTATCAATCTGTTCTATTTAAAGACATCCATATTATGTAACAAAAGATCACTGAAAAGTGAAAAAACATCACTGCAATGGGTAGTCCAGAAGCTAGTTAGTAGCTAATTTCTGATTAACTTGCTGGTTGTTGTTCGATGTTAAAACCTGTGATTTGATGCATTTTGAAACTAAGAGGGTATTACTATAAAATGTAAAATTGAACTGAACAACTACCTCAATTTTTCTTCAATGATTGCCATCTTGCAGAGGACAGAGGATTGAAGAAAGTAGAGTAGCATCAATTTGATCCCAAATTCTGGATTTTACCGTATAGGTGTAAATGCCTATTAAGCATAATGTGATTAATAAGAAATCTCTTGCCAAACAAACAACATGTCAACCAAGCAACTACTACCTCAAGTATCAGAATTCAAACAAGTGGTTTAAACTCGTTGGGCGTGATTTTCTGATTATTATTTCCTTAATTAAGCATAATAGAGAGAATCAAGGTCCATATGCACGAAGGTTGCAGTCTCCTTTGGATTGCTGATCCAATTTAGATTAAGGGACGAAATCATCTGAAATGGACTCTCATAATGGCAACACTGAACGATTACAGAGCTAAGATTTTGTTTTCTCTTTCAAGCTTTTAGTCGGCAAACAGATCAATAGTTGTTACAAGAGAATTCTGAACCAATCCAACAGACCAATAGTTGTTTTCTTTTTGGATTCTCTTCCTTTGGTGCTAGCATGGAATTGTTAGTGGAAAACTGTTATACAGATCCAATAACATCAACATGGAAGCATAAGAAACTTCCCGTCAAAACAAACAGAACAAAAATCCATACAGATCTAATAGCATATTATTATCAGTAGTACATATCTACAATAATATAGCACGGCTTGCATAATTGAGATATTCTTGGAGAGATTTCTTCCTTGATTTATACAAAAGTTACATTCAGAATCTGTGTAATCAAGCATGTCCAAGACCAGTCACAGCAACCGAGTCCTTTTTATATCTCTTGAGGCAACTTCCAAGTCACCAATGAAAAACAGGATTTTGTCCAGAATACCTAAGCAAGGCTCCTCTGCTCCTGAGGGTATTTCCCCAATGAATTCTCTTTTTAAATTGGAGTTACCAGTTGCCCCTTTTCTGCTCTTCCTAGAACCCAAATGGCGTTGAATTTCTCCTTGGTGAACAAGATAATAGTCATCACCTTCTCTAACGAATTTCAATCCCCTGTCAACCATGGATCCAATGCCTTTCAATTCAAACATGTAATATTTAAGAAAAGAAATATTTAAAGAACAAGTTCCATCGATCAAGATGGTAGGCTGAGGTAACAAAGCTCCACATTACTTTTAGTGCTCTAACATAGAGAGAATGCATCAAACTTACATAGTTGCATGAATCCATCCATTATCCAGAAAAGCATGTGCAAACACAACGCAAATAGGCATGCAAACATGCAAGGTATATAAAGAAAATTATTTGGAAAGAACTCAAGCTGTAAATGGTTGCCCTAGATATTTAACAACAGGAAAAACCAATGAGCAGTAAGCCTCCAGTCAGATACTTTCTTCCCAAAATTTTGACTGACTCTAAATACAGGGGTTTTGGGGTTTTTGGCCACTTTCAGGGGGTTAGGCAGGCCTAAGACCGACCACCTGACCAATTTTGAGAAAAAAAAAACTAAAATTAAGTTATGTGGTTTCAAAACACCCGAGATACAAGTTCATATTAACAGATTCGAACTCACTCAACAACAAGAAATAATTTTATACCATGTGGAAACTGCATAAAGAGATAGGGAACAAAACACTAACATCACTGGAACTAGCTGTTGCTGTTCAACATAGTCCCAGCAAGGCCAATCAGAAATAAGTGGCATGGCATCCACAGCCATCTTTTTCTCAATTCCTACATCAGTCCAATGCATAAATAGTTGAATTTCAAGATTAGCTGGAGGATTAAAAAATTCAAAGCAGTCAGTGACCATGTTCTTCTATATGCATAAAATAGATGACACAGAGACAGAGGAAAAAATATTGCCAGACATAATTATATCATGAGTATATGCAACATCATAAATAGACATACAGCAAGCTTAAATAGCATAGAAGTGACAAAGAAAGAAGATCAAAATTGAAAATTATCACTTAAATTTCTTAACTCTCTTATGTCAAGTACACAAAGTGGGGAGTCAATTTTTCCTTTTCATCTTCAGAAGTTTACGAGGGAAACCAAGAAACTGATGAATAAGCTAGTGGAAAGTTCTCATTGGTAGAGCATAGAAATAACAACTTTCTTTCTTTATGATGATAATATAAACGATATAGATTAAATATAACACTACTAACATATGTAATAGTAGAAATCATGGTAACATTATTGGACTTGCTAATAGATTTATTGGGATTTTTGGGAAGCTAAAAAGCTTTTATTTCTTTATTCATTAGGAGCTTCAACTTACAATCCAACACGTTCACAACGATCTTGCACTTCATAGACATCTTTCCATAATTTGGAATCTGTTGGAGCATAGAATGCAGCATGATCTCCTCCCCATCTCTCTTTGAACAGGTTGCGCCACAGAATATTGTCCGAGGCTAAGACCCTCCATTTCCTGCAAACTTTACAGTAGAAACTACTTTGTTTACTTATGACCAGACAAACAGCAAGTTGGCATTTATCAAATCATTAACATGAACGAGTGGTGATTAATATTGCAAACAAGCATCGAGTGCAGAGAGAGGGAAACAGATGGATTAGATCCTTTCCGTGGTGATCTAGCGTGAAGCCAAGGCCAGTATCGGCATATATGGTAAATGCAGCTGAAATAAGTAAATGATAAGCTTCTATATTCCTGATTCTCTATAAAAGCAACTTCCATATTCACAGGTTTTCGGCCATTTGTGGAGAGGGATCTAATAGACGAATGGTTCCCATGATGGGTTAGTATCTTTTTGATCCAAAGGGCCCTAAACGAATTCAATTATCATCTCCGTGTCCCTCCCCCTTTTTGTGCATCATTTGATATTTCTATTGCTGGCACGCAAGATTGAATTATCATCTCCGCTTGTATGATTTGATATGGAGCTGATTAATTCAGTAAAACTTGTTTTTCTTTTTTTGTCTTCCTGTTTTCTCCTGGATTTCTTCGCTTTGGGCAACCAGGGATAGCTCACTCAAGTCGTCACATCTCTTCTCTTTCCAAATAAACCAACATAATTAGATGCATCACAAATCAAGAGCTGAATTTAGCTTCAGAAGGGAGAAGGATGAACCCAGTAAAGGGGAAAAGAGCAATTGGGAGTTTTGGAGAACCAAAAATGCCCAATTCGTTGTGAATTCGACAACCCCATTTTACAAGGGTAATATGTAGATCAAGAATTCAGATGTGGCCCAGAATAATATAAATGATCGGAAAATTTAGGGAAAAAAAACAAAACTCAAATTTAGAAACCATAAGTATAATTCTGAGCTCTGACCTTGTTTGGCGGTTGCAAGATTTTGGTGATCTAAGAAGAAAAAGATTTTAAGAGACAGATCTGTTGATAATTTCTCCATTAATTTCAGTATCTGGGGTGGACTTCTCTGTGGCGGTGAGGTGACGACGAGGAATGAAGGAAGAGCTGGAGAGAACTGAGAAAGCAAAACAACTCCTCAACAAGTAAACCGACCCAACGAGAAGTTCGCTTTCTTTCTGGTGGTTGAAAATTGAAAATATTCTTTGGATTCCGCCACCATGGCTTCCACATGTTGTCATTATTCCCGCGAAACAAAAAACAAAAAAAAAGAAGTAGAATTTAATTGCGGGAAACTTCAAAAATTTACTAACAGCTATAACGGGTAACGGTAACGGGCAGAGAGCGTATGGAGGGACTATGGCGCTGTTTATGTTACATGAAGATGAAGATGAGGATTGACCGATTGAGGAGTTTTTGTTCATGTTGTGTTGTGTGGGTCAGACTTGGATCTACGTAACGAGCAGCCCCGAATTTTTTATTTTTTGACTAAACGCTGTGTACTGTAAAGCGTAAACACATTTATTGTCATTCACCGGCAAGATCTTCCCAATGTGCGGCTGTGGGGTTATGTGAACATTTAAGTGGCTAGCGTTTGTGCTCAGCAGATCCGCATGAAACTTTGAAACTTAAACTGTTAAACCAAATCTCGGTAGAAGGAATGTCAATTTTCAGGGAGGAGAAAGGGAGTTCGCATCTCCGACCCACCGCGCCTCGCCCCACACAATTCCCGCCCCCTAACCTCAAATCGGAGTCTCTGACCTCGGTTCTAACCCGAGCTCGGATCTCCGCCCCCCATCTTCGGCACCGGCAATCGCTCCAGCCACCGTCATCAGGCACGCTCCAACCCTCATTTTTTATGTGGGTGTTTTTCATTTCAAGAAACCAGTGCTCTATGAAGAAAAAACTAAGCATACTTCAAGAAACCAGTGCTCAACCAAACACTGGTGCTAGAGCAATCACCGGTGCTGGAGCAATGGCCGGTGCCGGAGAGAGAGGTGGAAGGGGGTTAAAAAAGTCTCTCATTTGAAATGAAAAACAAAACATCAAAAGAGGGTTTCTCTGATTTGAAATGAAAAAACCAAACACCCACACAAAAAACGGGTTGGAGCTTACCTAATGACTACAGTGATCGCTGGGGGCGGAGAGTCGAGCTCAGGCTAGAGCGGGGTCAGAGACTCCGATTTAAGGTTCAGGGGGCGGGAATATGGGAGAAGCTCAAATGATATCGTTTCGGGGCTAACGGGCAGAGATAACGTCCATCCCATTAGCCCCGCATGTGGAAATGCCCCATCATGTGCGACTAGATAGGTGTCAATTACACACGTTGTGTGGGGCAATTGTAGGGCAAGGCATGGTGGGACGGAGATGCGAACTCGAGAAAGGAGAAAGGTAGGAAGTGCAATGATGTAATCAGCAATCCCTATTTCATGTGAGAGAATGCAAATTATACACCAGTTTTTTTATATAAAATTTTCACTATCAATGAGTGCAAATTTTGCATCAGGTAAGGGTGAAAAATAGGGATGACAATTTTCCCCATTTTCTCGATCCTTGTGGGGATCCGTCCCGGATGGGGTGGGGATGGGGATGATTTTCCCCCAGATGGGGACAGGGATGAGAGAAATTTGGGGACGGGGAGAGTAATTCCAGCCCCATAGGATCCCCACTAATATATATGTATACATGTATGCATACATTATATATGTATATATGTATGCATGCGTTATATATGTATATATATACACATACATCTATATATTAATATTTTTAAAAATATGGTTGACTATATTCGAATATTTTTCAATAAAATTGTAAATTTTAATTATTTTATTTTTATTTTTTTTTAAATACAATAAAAACAAAAGCAAAATGATTAACATTATAAAAAATCACGGGGAATGGGGATCCCCGTGGGGATGGGGACGGGATGGGGAGAGGCTCCCGATCCCCGCCCCGCCCCGTTGCCATTCCTAGTGAAAAACATAGTTACAAAAAAAAAAAATACAAAAATTGGATCATTGTCTAAAATTTGTATTTGATTTAGATGTTCATTGCAACCAAACAACTCTAAGGATTTTTCATGGGGTTTCTAGAACCAGAATAATCACATCTATTTTGAAGGATTGGGCAGATATTTCGGAAGGGATCGAGAAGGAAAAATTAAGGTGGACCAGACTTGAAAGACAATGATATCAAAACTGGTTAATTTGGCAACTGCTCGATGAACCATCTCTTCATGGGCCACGACTTTGAAGAGCAAGAGACTTCTAGTCCCCATTAATTAAGATTGTTATTGGCAAGATCCAAAGGTGTGTTCTTACGTGGATTGACTTGTACAAGCAGGGAGTTATTTCGGATGTCAGCTTGTAATTTGATTGTTTTAATTGCTGGTTGTACCTCTGTGAGGTGAGGGTTCCTCTCTTTCCATCCTGTTTGCCTATTGATTTTAATGAAATATATTTCCATCTAAACTGCAAGAAACAAAATTCAAGACTTCTATTCAGTCAAATTCACATATAGTAACTTCTCACCATGGGTTACAGCAAAAGTGTGATCAGTGGCCAAGCCAAGAATTTTCTTTCTTTTTCTTTGGGGGAAGTTAAATAAGAAAATGAGATAGGGAATAGATGAGGTATAATTTGGAGAGAAATGTTGCTTGGGTCTATTATAGTTACAAAATTTTTAACTTAATTTGAGATCTAGTTAGAGGAACCTTAGAGAGTGATACTCAACATTAAAATAAGTTTGGGGTTGGGGGGGCTAAAGACCCCACCAATATACTTGGCTTCACCCCTGAGTGTGATTGACGATGGCAAGGGCATGAAGATAATCTTACGATTGCTCCATATATACTGTCATTTGTTTGAGCAAGAAGGCCTTTGGTCTAAGGGCTTTGTTACCACAAAATTCTAGAGGGGTTAAGAGGCAATTTGAGGATTCTACATGGGCAACTGCATTTTAAAATATAGCATAGATATGTTAGATTCACATTTCTACCTGATACAAATTTTGAACTTTTTATCTCTTTCGAACTCATTGTTAGTGTGCAAATTTTGCATTCCAAAAACTGATGCTGCAAAATTAAGACAAACCTTCCTCCAACCTCAATTCTTTCTCATATAAAATGAGGACCACATTCCTCCTACCTTATTCCTTAGTCACATAACCTTTCTCTTACGGCCATTCTTTTCCATTTAACTTCCTTTATTTTCTCACAAACAAATAAGATAAAGCCAAATACGGAACAAAATTAAAACTAGTATTTACACTAAACGAACACCCTTTTGCACTCTCAAGCATTTACACTAGTGCAAATGAAAGTCGTACTGCAGCCTAATGTATTAGTTCCAAAATTGAGATGATCAAACTATTCATAGCCTTTTTTATTTTTTAATTTTCAAGACAGAGATTAGAGAGCTCACATGGTTTACTCAATAGGGCTAGTTGCTTCCGCTATTGATTTGTGCATTTTTTTCAATTAGAAAAAGTGAAGAAACTATTTTACTTCAAATAGCAAATGAAGAAACCTTTTAAAACCTTAGGGATTGCTTATGTTAAAAGTAAGTGTTTATTGAATAAGTGCTTATTCGGATAAACACTTGTTTGCATTTGGCACCCAACATTTTCAAGTGCTTATTTTATATTGGGTGTTTGGTGGTATTTTTCTCCAATAAAGCACTTAAATAAGCAATTGTGGCTCTTTTGCTCTTCATTTTTTATCAAAATTTCAAAATTCCAATCCAAAGTGAATGAATAAAAGTACTTTGATAGAACTGTTTTTATAAAAGTACTTTTACAAAAGTGCTTTCATGTAAATGTATTTTTACAAAAATGCTTTCGTAAAAGTCTTTTTATAAAAGTGCTTTCATAAAAGTACTTTACTTTCATAAAATTACTTTTATAAAAGTGCCTTTGTAAAAAGGGTTATAATTAGTATTCGAAAAATTAACTAGGGACAATTATGGGAAAAAAATTGAATAAGTACTCATTGTATGAACACTTAAAAAAAGCTAGAAATTTGGGCTTAAAAAATAAGCACTTACTTATTTTTAAAATAAACTTTATTGGTGTGGTCCCCACCCAAATAAATACTTAATTTTTAAGCACTCCCAAACATGGCCTAAGTTTCAATCAATTTGCTAAGCGCCAGATTAGAGGTAAGGGAGAGAGAGAGAAAGAGATCACTACATATTGAGCTGAGCTAGCTAGAGAATTGATTGAAACTCTCTCTAATGATGGCCATGAACCAATAATAGGAGGCAAAAGAGAGAGAGAAAAAAAAAGAAAAAGAAGAAAAACGGTAAAAGGGAGGGGCAGAAATAAGAAAGAATCCTAGAACTTAAGGGATCAATGAAATACATATTTGAAAATTGAACTCTCCAAAAATTAAAACCAACATATACATGATATTTTCAGGGTGCTAGTATATTGTAACAGCATCCTAAGCAGCTAAAATAGTCCCAGCTCCCACTCTTTACTGCAGATATTGCTATTTGTTTGGAATCTAGCCTTTGCCAAGTGGTTATCCGATAGATATAGAGATCTATCCCCTCTTCAACAAATCAAGATATTTCCTATAGTTCCCCTTATTTAGACTTTTGCTACAACAGCAAGTGACAACAAAGATTTTCCTTTTTCCAAATTTCTATTTCTATGTGGGTTCCATTTAATATCATAATACCAATCAAATATTTAACGGCTGTGTCTCTATGTCCCCCTCTTTCTTTCATTGATGACGTCCAATCCTGTTACTCTACAACAAATTCAGAAGCAAGAGGTTAAAATTTTAAGTTTATCAATGTTTCTAAACCAACCGCAACCTGGATACTGGTTCGGTAGGCCAACCAGGCATTTCAATTATCAAATAAGGGACCCATCGGTTAAACCATAGTTTTAAAATGTTGGGTTCACAAGATACCAGTCACCAGTCTTAGTCTGTAATAAAAGACAATCTAGGTAAATGGAGATTTGAGACTCAAACTCCTTCACACCTACCCCCAACTCCCAATATACACACAAAAGAAGCAATGATAGGGGGAAAAGTCAAAAGTAAACAATAACATTTAGTTATTGACCAAGCCTGAGTACTCTGATACTTAACTCCTCGTTGATAGTGTACAACTTATTTGCAACCACCATGTATCGCCTCTACGAGACTGATGCCATAAAGAGGAAAATAAAACACGTAACAGTGATGGGGAATGCATTAACAGAAATAGTGATTGATACACAAAACTCTATTGCTTGTCTTCTCATATAGATAATAACCTACTTACATCATACAACACAACACAGACAAAAACGTTGAGAGGAATACAAACGAAATTCATGATCCTCCTCAGGAATGTACTAGGACCTCATTTTCATGATTGATGGTCAAAATATACCTACACAACCCTCAAATGTACAGAAACCAATGAGCTGGATACACCCTGCAAACGAGATTTTTCACATTAGACAGAAATCACTCAACAACTGTCTAGCTTAACACTCAAGTTAGACAGAAATCACTTCCTTGATAAAATTGAATCATCACATTCAGGCTTTTTGAAAGAAAAATAGTGAAATCGGAGAACATCACATATAGTAGTGACAACAGGAAGCAACAAAGAACAAGATCAAAGAATAAAAACAATCTACATGAAGCCCTCAACTTCGAGGGACGGACATGCCATGACACGAGAAGCAATGGAGCTACCCAACATTGAAGTCAATATGAATGTTGCAAATATGAAACCATGGGGTTTGTCTTCGTCATTTGGGCTCAAAGCAGGAGTCCACAGGAACATAAAGGTACAAATATGCAACGTGGAGCAAAAGATAGGCTAAACAACACAATTTGTCCACCATTTGATGAATTCCACTTGAAATATCATAACTACAAATACAAATATGTGTAGTGCAAAATAATACAAAATACAAGGTTTTGCACTATTCATATTTGTTAGACAATGTATGTCCTTAGCTCCAATCAGATTGATTTATAGATACATTTATTGTAAATGAATAAAAGTACATTATTGTTTCATGATGTCATTGGTATGTTTTTATGAATTTACCTCTTAAATTAGACACTTATGAGACTCGTGTTAGTTTAGAATGTTCTTAGTCGTTGAATAGACTTTGGGAGTTTATCTTGTCAAGGCTAACACTAATATGCTGCCAAAGAAGTTGGGGCAACTTGTCTCAACTGATAGGGTTAGACCCAAAGCACATGTAGTGTGTGTTTGATTAAAACACTGAACCCAGACTATTTTCTAGTTATGCCCTAGACCTTGAAGATTAATGGGCAAAATTGGAAAGTTACACATAACCCTTAGACTTTATTATAATACTGCATTGGGCGTTGGATCGGACTTTCTTTGATATGTCAATCGGTGAGATCCTTTAGGGGTCAAAACCTGTGTATGTTGGGGTAGTCTAAGAATTCACTTGAGTGGGTGATCATAGTGATAGGATTTGCCCCTTTGTTGGACAAAGTGAACGATCGAAACTGCACTCTCTCTGATGAAAACCAAAACTACCGGTAGTAGATTTCAACCGTGTTTAAGATTTGTTTTGCAAAATATATTTATATGTATATACATTATGTTTTAAAAAAATGTTTGCAAAATGTTTTAATTCCCAAGACYCATCTAAGCAAAGAGTGTGACACTGCACCTTGTTGTCAGGGGAGAGGTCATTCCTTATCGGGTAGTGTTTAATCATTATGGGCTGAGAGGTTAAGTGTAAGAGACCATTAAGGGCTTATTACCTAATGAGCTATATCTTACTTAAATCCATTATCCTTGGGGCTTCATATGATGATTGGTCCCAATGATCATTTAACTATAAATGTTGGGCCCATTTTGAGCCCATAGTGATGAGCTCAGGGGTTCACTGCATTTTGTAGTGAATTCGACCAAGCCTTTTCACAAAGGCTGGCCTGAATCCACATGGGCTTATGTGAGGTCCTTGTTGGGGTCTCATGCCATAAAAATTAAACCTAAACATGCCAGCAACACTCTTGGGTTGTGAGCCACTTAGTTAATGGGCCTAAAGCCCATGATTAATATGATTAATCAAGATGTCACATGATTGCTTAAGCTGTCATGTGGCATTGATGAATATGGGTATGGAGCACCCATTCTCTTAAGAGGATAAGGACCTATCTTTGATAGAGTCTAGATCCAAATAAAGATTTGGATGAAACCTCCTAATTTGATTAGGAGTGGTGCTGATTAAAGGTTAAGAGAAGAAGAGATCGAACTACTCTAGATAACTCTGCTTTCAGATCTCTCTCTTCTCCCCTTGCCGCTCAAGAAACTCTAGTTCGATCTATGAATTTGGAACTAATCTTGATCATTTCTCTATCTGATTTTTGCAAAAAAAAAAAAAAAAAAAACAGAGAAAAACCGTGCTCATCTCCTTAGTTCGATCCTAAGTGTTGGATTACAGTTTTGTTGAAAACTGCATTATTGAACTAGCTTCACTCCAAGTTGCACCATGTTCAGTGGAATTTGGTTTTGGGATTTGATTTGGGCATAAACTACCACCTTGGGAGCTACATTTTTGGAATCGATACTAGGTATACATTTCCCTCTTGTTTGGTTTCAAACCTGACCCGGTTTCAATGCAAGATTGATCCTAAAAATATGCAATTCTTCTAAAACTGAGAATATGATTCCTGGAAAGTTAAAAAAAAAAATTTAAAATTCCGCCAACCATTTAGCATGATTCAGCCATTCATATGATGTATTCCCACCTTTTTCAATATTTGTATTTGCATTCCTTCCCAAATTGAGCCTAAATGAAATTTTATTCCCTTGTGCCATGCATATAAAAATACATGTAGTGAATAGACACTCTTTAAATATATCCAATTGTGAACGTATAGGCTTGAATTTCACCAAATAACAATGATGCTCAAAGAAATAAAGGTTCAAATTGTATAAGGGGTTCACTAGAAGCAATAATTGTAGCAGCACCCTTAAACTGGGTAAGTAGGTCCTTGTTGTCTAAAGGATCTCCATAATTTTCACTCCATAAAATAGAGTAATGGCCATCCAATCAAACCAAAACCTAGTGTGTCAGTTAAGACATTTCCTAACAATTAGGCCATTGCCTAGTAAGATAGCCCTGGAGAATGTCAAGGATAACCATTGCAGATCAAAGCCCCTCTGTACAGTACAAGAAAGGCAAAATGATAAGATGCCACAATGAGGAAGACAATTTTCAGGAAACATTGTACACATGAGGTAGACATTAAGGTGGATTTTTCGACAAGAAATTTTGAGCTACAAATGCTAGGATGTTACTTCCTTAACTTCACACAGAATCTTCCCCTATCTTAACAACTAAAGAATTTGAACAAATAAATTACCATCATATCTTCTGAACAAATAATGTTCTGCAACAAGCCATGACTCAAAAGCTGAAAACAAGAGAGAAGTGGCAATTCCTCCCAATACACGTCCCAACATTAGGACCTTGTATTGAGGAGAATACTTGGTGATGCTAAGTTATGCGGTAAGTCACTTCTCTCTTGTTTGAGGAGAATGCTTGGTAATGCAACTAAGGATGTAAGTTATGTAGTAAGTCATACAAGCCCTCTTCCGACCCTTGTATTTGGTGTATAAAATCATTAAGAACAAGAAATACACACAACAGAGAGAGAGAGAAAGATCCTACAATCGTCCCAAATTTTACACCAATTGAATGCACACCGTATTTATATTCATAAACCAAAAAAAAAGGATAAAAATTGTCCCACCCAAATGGAAACTTGAAAGATAAGTTTTAGGAAAGTGGCGAAGGACACTCGCCACTCGGTGGGTGTTGAGTAATTTATTCTTCGTCGCCCATATAAGGAAGAGAATCCAGATCATTAGGTTAGGTAGGCCGTTTCAGCTGATTATTGATGTAATGTAACTTCACTTCTATATTAAGACTAGAACAGAGTAACAACTAAGTAGATTATTGATGATGATAACATCATCACTCTCATCGGCAGAGATCCCACAGCCAGAGGTGATCAGATTCCAATTTGAAACTCAGGCACACATAAGGTGAGCCCGATTCCGCGGGGAAAAAGAAAAGACAGAGTAGCGAAAAGAAAAAGAAAAAATGACAAAAAAGAGAACCAATATCAGTATATCACTACTCGCTCCAGTACTTGTCATCCTTGTCCTTGCCATTTTCGTCCTCATCATCTGAGCCCTTCATCTTAAACCTCCTAACATCTTCCACGGCGGCAGTCCTAAACAATCCTATGTCTACGGCACCAGAAATCATGTGGTACCCACGCTTCCTAAGCTCATCGGGGCCATCGTGTGCCATCGCAAAACCCGCCAAATACGCCCTCCCAGTCCCACCTTTGTTTCTCAAGTTTAACACACTCTTCTCCGCCACTCGCATCAACTCCCTCACTTTCTTGTTTCCAGGGTCCCACAGATACCCCAAGCTCGCGCTCAGATCCATCGGGCCCATCTGTATGCAGTCCACCCCATCGACGGCCGCGATCTCTTCTATCTTCTTCACCCCTTCTTCCGTTTCCACCTGGCACATGATCAACAACTCCTCCCCGTAGTTGTCCAGGTACCCTAAGTCCATGCCGTAACTCGATGCTCTTACGACCGTATGTGCCGATCCCCGCACTCCCGCCGGCGGGAATCGACAATAGGACACCGCCTTCTTAGCCGATTTCGGGCCGTCGATCATCGGGAACAAGACCCCCTGTGGCCCCAGATCCAAGGCCTTCTTCGCCCACATTGGGCACGACTCTGGCAGACGCAGTATCGCATGAGTGCCAGCCGCCGTCAGAGCATGGAGGCAAGGGAGAGCGTCGGAGATGCTACCGTGGCCATGCTCCATATCGACGACGACGAAGTCGTAGCCAGCAAGCCCGGCAATCTCGGCGATCGTAGGAGAGAAACTAAGGAGGAACATACCATATAGGGTTTCCCCTTCCGCAAGACGGGCTTTTAGGGTTTTGGGACGAATGAGGTCGACTGTGGGAGAGAGATCGGAGGTGGTGGTTGCTGGTGTAGTTGGTGGTGATTTTGTTGGTTTAGGGTTTAGAGTTTTGAGGGTGAGGGGCGATTTGGTGAAACGGGAATTTCTTGTCGAGGAGAGGTGTGAAAGTGTTGACGAAGAGAACAATCTGAAGGGGGAGATTGTGGTTTTGRTGAGATTGAATGACAAGGAAGGAGAAGAGGGTTTCTCGAGTTTGAAGAGTAGAGAATTGTTGCAGGCGGAGTAGGCGGCCATGATTGATGTTGCAATTCCGTTTGTTGATGTTCCTCTTTCTCTTTGGCTTGGGGGTACTATGACTGAGTAGTGACCGCCGACTAGTGAATAGTGAATAGTGACTAGTGAGTTGAAAGCCTAGAACAGTAGAACTAGAAGGGGAAGGGTCAAGGACTCAAGGCTAAACTCATGGGGGTATCACACTTAATGCCGCTTCGTGTCACGTGCGTAATACATGTGACACATGGCGCACATGCTTGGGAGTTGGGGTCCGTTCAGTTCAACTCCAGTCCAGTCTCCCACTCGCTCACCTGGACGGACTTGACTAAAAAAATGTAGATGAGGAAGAAGAAAACATCATCCCAACTGGATATTAAATTTTCGAGACCTTCCACGTCTTATTTGCTTGCTTTTCACGGCGGCGTAGGATTGCACTCCCGCGATGGGGTGGATCCTTTTAAATCTCCGCCACATATTCAGATTCTGAGAATAGCAAAAATCTTACCCTGGCCCACCACCTCATTAACAGAAGAAGAGGCGGCAGCAGCAGGTAGCAAGCTAGCAGCTGGAGCCTGGAGCCCTGGAGGAAGAAGGCTGAGAACAAATATAGTGGATAAACGTCGACGATCGATCCAGCTGAGTAAAAACTAGCAGCTTGGAGTGAAGTGGGGAAAGAAAAGAAAAGATAGAAGCTAGTCCAGAGTTATTACGCTAGCTCCTCTTCTCTCTGTCTGGAACCCTGAATAATGGTTCCTGTAATTTCGTCTATCTCCCAATCACCATCTTCTTGTTGTCTCCCTTCTTCCTTACATTGCAATTTCCACGCTTCACCACTCGTCTCCTCATCAAAACTTAATACTAGATCTATTTGCATGAGAGTAAGAGATACTGATTCTTCCAGCTCGGTCTCTACTCGTACAATTCGGAGTGCCGCGACAAAACCTCCAAAATCCCCTGGTATTTTCTCTTGTACCCTTAAAATCTCATATTCTTTTTTTTTCTTGTTTCTCTTATCTAATTTCATTTGGTTTAATCCGAATTCTTGTGCTGTTTTCATTAGAGAAAATTACAGTGCAAGTGCAACGATTGGGTTTGAGTACTTAGCTAATCTCTTTTTCTCTTTGTTTCATTTTTTATTCTTTTTTGTGCGGATGGGGTGTGAGTAGCCGAAGAAGACTGGAAGATCAAGCGTGAATATCTGCTTCAGAAAAGGGTACTTTTATGCCTCTTCCATTTCCTGTGAATGTTTGATGGTTGCTCTTTTAGGTGTTCTTGAAGCAGAGTACTGGAATTACAAGTTTGGAAATAAATTTATGAATTGAAAATTATAAGCATAGTACAGAGTATCTGGAACTAAAAATTAAAATACATAAATTAAAAACTTTGAGTTAAAAAGAACCTGACAAAATAATCAAACTGCCATCAAAGTTATATTACAAGAAATTTAGTCAGAATTAAGAAGAATACTTTGAAAACTAATTGAAGGAATCGTTTTGTTAATACCAATTTAAATAAATCCTAAATAAACATTAGTGTTCAAGTATTAAGTAATTTTGTTGTCCTTCCAACACAGTGATACCTAGCCAGCTCATTCTTCTTGTATAGAAATTGAACTCTTCCTATTTGAGTGTAGCCTGTACTTGAAGCAGAATACATTCTCTGCAGGTAAGGAGTGTAGATGTAAAAGAAGCCTTGCGCCTTCAGAAAGAGAACAAGTTTGTCATCCTTGATGTGCGCCCTGAGGCAGAATTTAAAGAGGTCAGCATCTCACTTCAAATTGGTTTATTCAATAAACAGTTATGGGTTTTGAGCAACTCCTGTTTTGTTGCATCTATCAACTGGATTCATCTCTTCAAATTGATTTGTTCAATAATTAGTTATGGATATTGAGCAATAGCTATTTATGTTGTTTTCCGTTGAGCCTACAAGCTATCTCATGCTATTTATTATTCTATGCAGGCTCATCCTCCAGGTGCCATAAATGCACAAATTTATAGACTTATAAAGGAGTGGACAGCGTGGGATATTGCTAGGCGTGCTGCATTTGCATTCTTTGGCATCTTTGCTGGCACGGAAGAAAACCCTGAATTTCTAAAACGTATGAGGTTATGTGGTATTTTTGTTGTGCTTTTGTGTCATCTAGGATTTGTAATACTTTTAGCTTTTAACTAACCAAACATTGATGTCTGCTAACAGTCGTGGAGGAAAAATTAGATAAAGACTCAAAAATAATTGTGGCTTGCTCATCTGGAGGAACAATGAAACCATCACAAAATCTTCCTGAAGGTCAACAGTCAAGGTAATTTCCTTCCACTTCTTTGACATTAGCAGGCTTCACTCTCATCTTTTATTTCCTTAATGTTAAAAATAAGTTTTGAAGATTGTTATTAATAAAGTATATATCAAAGGGCAGTTTGGATAAGCTTAAAAAGAAACTCCTTCCATTCAATAAGCATACATTGTACCAGAAAATGTTGTATACTTTCAGAGGGTATGCATACATGCATAGCTAGAAATTCCAAAGCAGAAGCTTATCCAAACATACCCTTGGTTAGTTCTCTTAGTTTCTTCTGAGTTCTAGGGTGTCTTTCTTTCAACTACCCTAGCCTACTTCTAAGATCAATTCTGTTTTTTAATAAATTTTTCAAAAGTTAAAAAAAACAGACATAACAAAAGGTTGTTAAATATGTACATAGAAAAGTGATTTTTCCTCATTTTTGTCATATATGCAATATTTACTTGATACAATAAAGTTTACCAGTGGTATATTATAAGTGTAAGATGATATAATCCAATCTGACTCGAAGTCAACTTATTCACATGCAATAGCTCTTTAACCTATGTATGATGGAAAATGTACTCAATGAAGTTTCTAAGTTGGTCTTAAATAGCCTAAATAAATCATATTCTAGTAAGGGTATCTAAAACAAGAAYCCCTTGAATTGATCCAAATCACATGGATCATGTAAATCATTAAATTCAGACAATAATGGTAAATTTTTTACAGAATGATTTAGGCATTAGATTTGAATGTAAACCCCTTGGATTCATGATTTGAATCATGTCATACATCATAAGATTTTGACAATTACACTTTCAAACAATGCTAGCAAAATATGCCTCCACCTAGTAAGCAAAAATTGTTGCTTCCCAGACTCAAACTGGGGACCTTTAGTGTGTAAGACTAATGGACAAATATATTAAATTTCAATCATCTGCCCATCTTCCCAACTTTCATTTGATTGAGTAAACCTAAAGTAATGCATATTTTTAAGCTTTTTGTATATACCATAACCATAAGTAATTATTGTTTTAACACAGAACATACAGATATTATACAAGTCCCAGTATCTTATCGTAGCATGTCTTGAGCGTTGCTTATGCAAACCACACCAAGTGCTTGGAATCTCTTTTCTTTGTTCATGATCCAATTCGAAGATATGATTGGTTAACATTGTTTTGTCCAGGTCCTTGATAGCTGCTTATTTGCTTGTCCTCAATGGATATACCAATGTTTTCCATCTAGAAGGTGGGCTTTACTCTTGGTTTAAAGAAGGATTACCGGCAGAGTCAGAGGCCTGAAGGTGCCTTGAAGAAACTACCCTTCTTCCCCTGCTAGAGCATCTCCTCAAACGTCAATCTGTATTTGGAAGCTATGAATATGTTACGCTTATTGCAAGTTGTAGTCATGCTTCAATGAGTGTTTTTAATTCAATTCCATTCCAATATTAGTCAAGAGAAAGAAGTGTGGTTGTACTAATTGTAAGAGCATTTAGACTTAGTTTGGGAGTGTTTATTTCTTTTATGTTTAAGTAAGGCTGCAACTTGGGCCGGGTTGGCCCGAAAAAGTTGGGTTGGGTTGGGTTGGGTTGGGTTGGGTTGGGTTGATGTTCGCGTTAGGGTTAGGGTTAAAATTCATTAACCCGATTTTACTTCAGGTTGGGTTAGGGTAGACTCCCTAGCCAACCCGACCCAACCTGAACCCGACTCTATAGTACATGTCATATATAAATATATATTATATGTAATATATAGCATACATTGATTTGTTTAGATGCATGGTATTTTTATATCCCCCACCACATAGTATCATGCGTTTTTTTTTGAGATAATCACTTCACTTTATTCTTCATCTTCTCTATGTTGTTCACGTCAACAAACAAATACTAATGAAACATATGATTAATATATATAGTAAAAGTTGAGTTAAGATTTAAAATTGAGAAATTTTATAAGGTTTTAAGGGATGGGAAAAAGGTTGGGTTGGACCCAATCCGAAATTGACTTTGGGTTGGGTTGGGTTGGGTTAGGGTTGAAGGAATTTAGTTAGGGTTAGGGTGGATTGGTCAGGTTGAAGGTCGGGTTGGATTAGGGTTAGGGTTGGTCTCAAACCGGTCCGACTTGAAATTGGGAAATAAGTGTTAGATTAGGGTTAGGGTTGGCCTCAACCAATAAGCACTTATTTGCATTTGGGAAATAAGTGTTTATTTCAATAGGCACTTATTTGCATTTGGTACCCAGTTTTTTCAAGTACTTATTTCGTATTGCGTGTTTTGATAGTTTTTTTTTCTCGGATTAGTATTTGTAAGTTGTAATTCTTTTCTTTTATTTTCTTTCAAATTTTTAAAATATACCTAGGTCTTCAAGGACTTCTGAGACGAGTAAAATGAGGGGGGGAATATCTCTACACCCTTACTATGAACTGAGCCATCAAATGACGTTGAATGGGCATAACCGCATAAGTAAATTGATGAGAAGCAACCGGACCTGAATCCTAGTTCGATCTCCACCATTGGTAGCAAATTGATGAAAAGAATCAACCGGAGCTGAAATCCAGTTCGATCTCCACCACTGGTAGCAGACTGATGAGAAGAATCAACTGGAGCTGAAAACCTAGTTCGATCTCCACTGTTGGTACCAAATCGATCTGAAACCCAGATATCCACCACTGTAACGAAAACACAAATCGATCTGGAACTATTTTCGCCGTTGGTAGCAGATCTCCACCGTTGGAACGATTTGGCCAAGGAGAACCAAAGCTACGCCGCTGGTTGCAGGAGAAGAAACAGTCGATGGCCTAAATCATACGTTTTTACATTTGAAGGGTATTATTGAAATTATAAAAATTAAATGAGAACAGTGTTGGTAGAAAAAAATGGAACAAGTGTTTATTGTTTAAGCAAAATAAAAGCTAGAAATTTGGGCTTAAAAAATAAGTCCTTATTTTAAATTAAACACTTATTTTGATCTTATTTTTCAAACATCAATAAGTGCTTAATAGTGTAGTTTTGGCCTAAATAAGTACTTATTTTTAAACTCCCAAACTTAAAACTTTGAGATTTTTTAAGTATTTATTTGATCTACACTACCTCTATTTGAAATAAATATTTTTTCACAAACTGTCAATAAGCACTTATTTATCAAATGACCACTCCCAAACATGAGTTTAATATTTAAAAAAAAGTACTTAAAGTTATTAGATGAGGTCCATGAGTATAGAATAGATACTAGCAGGGATCGGTGTGATGCACGAAAAACTCAATATCTATTTGAACCAAAATTAATAAATAATTTGAAGTAATTTATGTTTTCTTGCTACGTGATTTGTTTTCATTTATTGATTGAAAATGGAAATAAAATTAATAATAAGTTTATGAAAATATAATAATTTATCTTTTATTTTCCAGTAAAAATAATCAACAAACTAGTAATTTTTCTGAAAATATAATAGTTATAAATAGTTTTCTAAAAATTTAATAATATATATCTGAAAATTCAATAACTATCAAAAAAGTTAAAAAATAAATTATGTTTTATTTTTCAACATAAATTAATCAATAAATTTCTTAAAATGTAATAATGTTCAATATTTTCTAAATAATCAATAACTAACGGAAGGGGCCTTGCGTTGTAGGGCTTGCTCATAAACTATCAGGCTCGAGCTTGATTCGAATTAGAGACTTGAGCTCGAGCTCGAGTCAAAAGCTCGGAAGTTCAAGCTCGGCTACCTTTGATTGCAGGTCTCTCAAGCAGCCGAGGTGCCGAGCCAAGGTTCCGAGCTGAGGTCTCCCTCAATTGTCGAGGTGCCAAATCGAGGTCTCCCTCAGCTGCTGAAGTGTCAAGCTGAGGTTTCCCTAGTAGGCGAGGTGTCGAGCTAAGGTCTCCCTTAGTTGACAAGGTGCTGAGCTGAGGTCTCCCTCAATTGTCGAGGCACTGAGCCGAGATCTCCCTCAATGACTAAGGTGTCAAGCTGAGGTCTCCCTCAGTGGTCGAGGTGTTGTCTAGCTCGAGCTCTATTCGAATTAGAGACTTGAGTTTGAGCTCAAAAGCTCAAGCTTGGTTCGATTTGAAGTCGATTACCTTTGATTGCAGGTCCCCTAGCAGTCGAGATGCTGAGCTGAGGTATCCCTCAGTTGAAGAGAGTGGCATTCTTGATTTATAAGGAGAGAGAGAGAGAGAGAGAGAGAGATGGCACGAGGGAGAGATGGCATTCTTGTAATTTGTAAGAAAAAGAGAGTGGCATTCTTGTAATTTAAAATAAAAAAAGCAAGAGAGAGAGAGTTGGTAGGAGAGAATGACATTCTTATGATTTGAAAGAAAAAAAAAAGAAAGAATTGATAGAAAGCGCTTTTGTAATTTAAAAGAAAAAATAAAAAAGAGAATTGGTAGAAAGTGGAAAAAGCAAAAAATAATGTTAGATTCCATTTCCCTCGTCCTTATACACATTTCAGCTTAATCTATTTATATAGATATATAAATTGTAATAACAAAATAAATATTTCAATAATAATATATAGAAAGTGGGTCGATCCGGGTCGGAATATCTACAGTCTGACTTGGAGTCGTCACTCGACGTAGTGATCAGAATAGAGAAACAGGGGATTGATTATTCGTTGGGATTTTTCCTGCAAGAAAATACTGGTAGATGGACGGAAAGACRTCGGCGAGCAATCTTTTTGTAAAACCCGACGCCAACAGCCAATGTTTTTGTAAAAATCCGACCCAACACCTAAACATCTCATACAAATGGCAATCTCTGTTTCTAGCAAACATTTCTACAACAAAAAAAAAAAAAAATGTCACCTTCGGCACTCGGCAGTTACCAACAACAATGAAAAATCTAGAACTTGGGCCCGAAAAACATACATAGGGCTAGGATGCAATGGGAAGAACTCCAGATCTGAATTGATGTCGAATGGCAATCTCCATTTCCGCCCCTAAATTGTTTTAGTTAGAAAAAAATTACCCATTTCCAGCCCTACTAACAAATAACAATTGTGTGTCACCGGTTATGAATGCAAAGGAGCTATATTGTTCGAAGTACAGTTAGGGTATTAATTCCTTTTATCTGAAAACTTGAAAGTTGGTGATCCAATTGGTATTTCAGTGAATAAGAATGTTGTCATTGTGCAAATTATCAGCTCTTCTATAGAGATGAAGCATATGAAGATTCCACTTGTAAGGTTGTTACTATTTTAAGAGTCCACTAAGTCAAGGAAGAGGGAGGGGAGAGATTTTAGGTATTGATTGGGGAGTGGGATAATATGATACTTTTTCTAATAGTTTAGAGGAGATATTTTAGGAGAGAGAAATTTTATTAATATTTTGGGTAAAGGACTTAAACCTCCCCTTAAATTTCTCTTAAAGACTGAAACCTCCCCTCTTTTTTCAAAATAGACTAAAAGATATCCCTTGTTTGCTAATGTCATCGGACTAAGGCCTCCCTTCTGTCAGTAACCTGTCAAGATCCTTTAAAATGTGACATACATGTGCAGTGCCCTCCAATGAAGAGATTAGAGAGACAATTTTCAATATGGGCCCATTAAAGGCTACAGGCCCACCCAGATGGCTTACATGCACTCTCTTATCAATCAGCTTGGGATGTTGTTGGGCCTGAATTTTGCCTTTCCATTCAAAAGGCTTTTATTGAGAAGCAATTTCCACCTTCAATGAATAAATCCTTACTGGTTTTAATCCCTTAAAAAGAATCTCCATTAGACTTTGCACTGTTTTCTACAAAGTGGTAGCCAAGATACTTGCAAATAGGCTGAGGCCTTTGCTCCAAAATGTCATCTCACCTTTTCAGAATGCCTTCCTTCCTAAGCAAATATATTCATGACGCAGGAAGTTATCCATACAATGAAGAAGAGAAAAGGTGGGGTTGGATCCTTTATTGGGCTTCTCCGATGAATTTGGGGCTCTGATTAACATGTGTATCTCCACTCTAGCTATCTCTTTTTGATTAATGGGGAACCCACCAACCACCAACTACTTTCAGACCTCAAGAGGAATCCGTCAAGGATGTCCTCTATCCCCTTATTTATTTCTGTTGGTTACTGAAACACTCTCCAGAATGTTGAGTCAGCTTCAAGAGTCCCATCAAATTCATGGAATTCAAACTCATTATATTTTCCATGAAGGAAGTTGATAATATCATGAAGGTTCTTGATCAATACTGTCAGTGGTCCGGCAATTTGTGAATTATTCTAAATCAGCCATCTTCTACAGTCCTAACGTCCACCGTCGGTTTCGTAGGAGATTTAATCATATTTTGGGAGTGAAGGAAATGCAGAAATCTGACAAATATTTAGGCAATCCACTTTTTCCCGGTAGAGGTAGCAAAACCACACTTCATTTCATCATGGACAAGCTACAACACCGTCTCAGTGAATGACAGGCCCAATGTCTTTCCCATGCTGGGCGCCTCACTCTAATTAAATCCACTATGGCCAACAATCCAATCTACTATTTGTCTACAACTCTTCTACTCCATGACCCCTGGGTTCCCTTTATTCAAGGATTTCG